TTCCCTGCGGAAAGGGATGATGCCAACACCATGAGAACAGCTCTTGAGTGGTGACTGTTTGAAGGGGTTGAGCTTAGAGGAGACAGAGAAGGGGGCCTGGCCCAGGGCTTGGGTGACACAGGGAGGGCCCCTGGGGAAACTGGTGCAGAGACAGGAGCCACCACAAGCTGCAGGTGAGGCCCCTGCAGGGAGGCAGTCTTGGGGCCGACCCCTGGGTAGGAGGGAGGGTCCATGGTGACGAGGAGTCTAGTGGCCAGGCTGCTGCTGTGGGCAGGGGCCGGGCCGCACAGTGAAGCCTGGGGAGTCTATCGGCTGCAGCTTGGCCTGCACGGCCCCGTGTGAGTTCACAGGGTCTTTGGGCAGGTGCGGGAAGAAGGGGGGCCGGCCCTTTGGGCCCTACCTGGTGGCCAGGCAGGCTGACCTTACCTCAAGACTGCCCCCCGCCTCCACTGCAACGGTCAGATCCTCGGCTCAGCAAGCAGCCTGATCCTTAGGTAGACAGGCAGCCGGACCCTCTCCTGGATGGCACGGCTAGATGGGGGTGTCCCACACTGCCCACAGGGCTCCCTCCCACCCTGTCCCAGGCCACCCCACCCTAGAGGAGACAGCACTGAAGGGGAAGTGAAGGGGGATCCCTGGCCAGAGAAAGCCAGACATGACAGGTTAGCTGCAAGCCACATCTGCAGGACAGCTCACCAGGCAAGACCACCAAGCACACCACAGAATTCGGAAGAACCAACAGCATCTCTATATAACAAGGGGGGTGGGCAGGTGGGGCTCCAGGCTAGGGCTCCAGGATGGGTCCACAGGTCAGAGGGGTCGGCCGGCCTGGAGGGTGGATCACGGGTGCCCAGAGGGTCAGAAGGCCAAGCTGGGGGCACTGAGTTCCAGAGGGAGGCCCGGGAAGGCCCCCAGGCCTGGAAGGCCAGGGTTTCATGTGCTAACTGGGCGGGCCAGCTGCACCCACTGGGCTCGAGAGCGCGCAGGAGGCGCCAGTGTCGTGGCACTTGGGTCTCTGCAAGCCTTGGATGACCACCCCCATGTGCGGAGGGAAAGTACGAGTTGTAGCAGTCCTCCGCGCCATAGGCAGCTGGGCCCAGGGTGCAGACTGCAGAGGGAAGGTGGGTGCAGTTACCGTGCCCGCCCCCTCTGCCCAGTCCCCACCTCCCCCCACCGCCCCTGCCCACCTCCTTACAGGACCCCACCCAGGAGGCCAGCAGGGGCGAGCGGCTCATGGAGAAAGCGGGCGGGCAGGGGCCCGGCAGGCGGCACCCGGCAGGCGGCACCCGGGAAGGATGTCGTAGGCGATGGAGCTAACCCTGTCGGCAGAGGGGCCTGCAGGAGGGGCTGGGCCCGCGGCCCTGCACCCCAGGCCTGCAGCATCCCCAAGTGGGCTCGGGCCTCGGGGGGGGGCCTGGAGCAAGGCAACCCCCGAAGCTGAAGCCCGGGCAGGCGGGCTGGTAGTCGGCGGGCCAGGGCCACTGCAGGTCAAAGTCGCCGCAGGCCCCTCCCTCGGGGACCCCGCCCCCGCCCCACCCCAGGACCCGCCGGGCAGACCTGCTCTCTGTTGAAGTCGGCGTTCTGGGTGAAGGGGCTTTCGCTCGGGCACCACACGGTCTGCCACGCCCTGCAGCCGCCACCCTCTGCGGTGGGGGCAGTGTCATGGGGGCGCTGGTGGCCGGGGTCCCACTCCGGGGGTGAGGGAGGACAGTGGGGGCTTTCGGGGAGGGCGCACGCCACGGGTGAGGTGCCTGCGAGCCGATGGTGAAGTGGGGCAGTGGGGAGGACTCTCGCGCCGAAGCATCTGGCACCCGGTACCTGGTGGGGCCCGGGATGCCCAGATCGGTCACGACGGGAGGGCGTCGCTCCAGCCCTGGCGGGAAGCAAGCTCTGGGCCTGGGTCCTCCAGGCGGGCCTCCACCAACTGGCCTGCCTCCCCAGACCGGCCCGGGGCTGGGGGTCCAGAGCCCTCACTCAAACAGTTCCCTCAGGTTGTGGGCGCAGGTGGGCGGGCTTCCTGGAGGGGCCCGTTAGCATCCTGAGGCCCGCCTGGAGCTCTTGCACCCCTGGGGGCCACCATGCCCCCAGCCAATAGCCACCCTACGCCAGCTGCCCAACCCCCAGCCCGCCCAGCACCCTGGGAAGTTACTGGGAAGTCACAAGTGGCTTCTGCTTCAGGGGGCCATGGGTCCAGTGTTCACCTCCATTGATGTGAAAAGTTGCCAGGAATTTCACCGCCTTCTGGTCAAAATGCATTGTCAGGGTCTCTGGCTCCCTCCCCCAGGGACATCTCTGGGGCTCTGTGACCTCGCTGGCTGGTCACAGCCCCCCCCCCC